GGTCTAGATCCCAGCACTTAGCTCTCATCAGCCTCCAACCTAAAACCCTCCAAGTTACCCTACACCAGCTCACTCTTCACTCCTGTGCACAGTTATTAACTTAGATTACCAAACTAACTGGTAAAAATGTGGAGCTAAGGGATCGGATGGATCCCAGACTGTGGCACCCCTTCAGACCCAAGCACAGATGCGTCCAGCCTCCCTCCTTACACACAGTGTCACTATTTCCTCCCTAAATCTTACAAACACTCTGTTGCCTTCTCACTGTGACCTGACAGAAAGGGAATGAAAAGTGAATAAAGAGGATAAGCTCTCAGTTATAGACCAGACGGTGTTTGAGAGAATTCACAGGGTGATTTAACTAACCCCAGCTCCTCTGACTGTTTATCGAATAAACCAACTATACCTGAAAATACCAACAGGGTCTCTCAATGAGCCCACCTTTTCAAGTTAAACAAACACAGACTCAGTTGTTGCAAACAGAAGAACTGTCAATCCCCCTGAATCATGCATTCAGTTGTGTTAATCAGGCATCAAGGGGACAGGCAGAGTCTTTGGCAAAACAATCCCTGCTGCTGGCCTGCAGGGTACAGCTGCTGGTTCACTGCCATCAATATTGTCAGAGAAGTCAGTTAGCAACCATCTGAGAGATTAACTCTTTGTTCACCAGCAATGATTGCAGCTCAGAAACACATCATTTAGACCAAATAGTCGATGCTAATGCTTACATTCCACCCGAACCTTCTCACACCCTAAGTCATCTTGCCTTCAAGCGGCCATGTGCATTTATATAGCATCCATCACAACCTCAAGACATGCCAAAAAGTGTTTTATCCTGTCCCAATGGCAGGACAGACCCAGCAGAGAAGTGGAAGAACAGTGGTATAAATCGAGATGGAGTTAATTTGAGAGTCCTCAGCATTGACTCCTGACCCCATGAAATCTCACGGCACTATGTCAGAATGAACAAGGAAACCAACATCCCCTCCAAACAAATAGAGGGGGGTGGTGGTGGGCCAGGGAACAGAATCTATGGGTGGGGGAGTTCAATATCCCGTCCACAGAAAGCATGAAAAATCCAACCCAGCAAATCACTGCTTCATCATTCTACTTTCAAGCATCAGCAACACAACATAAATGTCCATCTTTGGGAACATTTATTCACGTAGCACCGTGGGTATCCTGCTAGACACTTAAGTTACATGTCTTCTTCAAAATTATGTCTTTAGTTCACTGTTCTAAATTTTTGACCTCTTAGGAAAAACAGTTAGCTTCACAGAACTGAAGCTACAAATCCAATTTACCTCTTCTTTAAAATCCATGGTGTAAATGACAATTAATGATACACCTTTATCACAACAGCTTTGGTCTAAACACAAGCAACAGTTCTGGGAAACTAATGGGCCTAAAGGCTGTTAAGACCCTGGACCTGATGGATTGCATCCTTGGATTTTACAAGAAATAATTACAGAGGAAGTGGGTGCACTTTAGTAATCTTCTAAAAATGCTTAGATTCTAGAAAAGTCACCAATTATTGGAAAACTGCCAATGTAATACCCTTATTCAAAAAGGAAGGAAGACTAAAAACATGTGATAAAGGCTGGATGCTTACCATCAGTCATTGGGAAAATGTTGAAGTCTTTATGAAGGATTTACTAGCAGATCTTTTAGAAACACACACTATATCAAGTAGAGACAACACAGTGTATAGCTGGAGGAACACAGCAGGCCAGGCAGCATCAGAGGAGCAGGAAAGCTGACGTTTCCGGTCGGGGCCCTTCTTCAGGTTTTTCTGAAGAAGGGTCCCGACCCGAAACGTCAGCTTTCCTGCTCCTCTGATGCTGCCTGGCCTGCTGTGTTCCTCCAGCTATACACTGTGTTATCTCTGACTCCAACATCTGCAGTTCTTACTATCTCAGTATCAAGTAGAGTCAGGATGGCTTCACATGAGGAAAACCATGCATGAAACATTGTTAGCATTCTTTGAGGAGGCAACAGGAATGATAGATAAAGGGGTACAACTAGATGGAATATATTTGGGTTTCAAGGCGTTCAATATGCTACTACACATAAAGCTATTTAATAAGGTAAAAGTCTGTGAAATTGCAGATAATATGTTAGCATGGATAGAGGAATAGCTAACTAACAGAAGACAGAGTTGGGATAAAGGTGGCATTTTCAGGATGGCAATCTGTAACTAGAGGAGTGCCGCAGAGATCAAAGCTGGGGCCAAAATTACTTCCAATGTATTATTAGTGATTTGGATGATGGAAGTGAATGTGCTATCACCAAGTTTGTGGATGACACAAAAACAGTGGGAAGGCAAGAAGTGAGGATAACACAAAGAGTATGCAGAGGGATAGAGAAGGTTAACTGAATGGGCAAAAACTTGGCAGATTAAATATAATGTGGAAAAATATGAGGTTATGCACTTGATAGGAAGAATAGAGGAGCTGAATGTTATTTAAATGGGAAAGACTGCAGAAAGCTACAGCACAGTGGGATTTGGGAGTCCTTGTGTATTAACCACAAAAGCTAGCATCCATGTTCAGCGGATAATAGGGAAGACAAATAGAATGTTAGCCTTTACTTTGAAGAGGATGGAGTATAAAAATAGGGAGTTTTTATCTTAAACTATACAAGGGACTAGTCTGACCATGGAATACTGTGAGCAGTGATGATTTAGGTAAGGAAAGATATCCTGATATTAGAGGCAGACCAGAGAAGGTTCTCGAGGTTGATCCCAGGATGGAGAAATTTTCTTATGCAGAAAGGTTGGGAGGCTTGTACACATTTGAATTTAGAATGAGAGGCAACCTTTTTGAAATAACATAAGATTCTTAGAGGATTTGACAGGGTAGATATGGGCAGGTTGTTTCCCCTTGTGGGAGTATCCAGGACCAGAGGGCATCATCTCAGAGTAAAGGGTAGTCAATAAGGCCAGACATGTGGAAGAATTTCTTCTGCCAGAAGGAAGTGAATCTGTGGAATTCTTTACACTGTGCAGTGTTCAGAGGCTAGAGATAGACAGGTTTCAAATCATTAAGGGAATGAAGGATTCTAGGGAAAAGGCAGGAAAGTGGAATTGAGGATTATCAGGTCAGTCATGATCTTGTTGAATGGTGGCGCAGACTTCATGGGCCAAGGGCCTATTCCTTCTCCTTTGTATTATATGGTCTTTTGGAATCCAGCCTGTGAACCCATTGTGTGTGTGTGTGTGTGTGTGTGTATGTGTGTGTGTCTCTCTCTGAACCCATGGGGGGGTTAGGGTGTGTGTGTTTGTGTGTGTCTGTGTGTGTGTGTGTCTCTGAACCCATGGTGTGTGTGTGTGTCTGTGAACCTATGGTGTGTGTGTGTGTGTCTGTGAACCTATGGTGTGTGTGTGTTTGTGTGTGTGTGTGTCTGTGAACCTATGGTGTGTGTGTGTGTCTGTGAACCTATGCTGTGTGTGTGTGTGTGAGAGAGAGTCTCTGAACCCATGTGTGTGTCTCTGAACCCATTGTGTGTGTGTGTATGTGTGTGTGTTTGTGTGTGTGTGTGTGTCTCTGAACCCATGGTGTGTGTGTGTGTGTGTGTGTGTGTCTCTGAACCCATAGTGTGTGTGTGTGTCTCTGAACCCCATTGTGTGTGTGTGTGTGTGTGTGTGTGTGTGTGTCTCTGAACCCATGGTGTGTGTATGTGTGTGTATGTGTGTATCCGCAGGCAACCGGATCTGGGATCTGACTTGCAGAATGCCGAAGTGCTGATTCAGGTGAAAGAATGGAATTATCCAGCCAGCAGAAAGCTCAGGAGCTGTGACTCCCAAATGAAGCAAGTCTGTCCTCACCTCCCGAAAACTCGCTCGCTCTGAATTATTCACAACAAGCTTGAGGTCTGCTCTTCGTTCAATGTTCATCTCAACTGCCTGCCTCGGCCACAAAAGGACACTGATAGCTCACCCCTCGGGAAGCATCTTTCACAACAACGGACAGATTTCATTAAAAATGGAGAGAGAGAGAGAGCCTGCGGCCCCAGAATGTGAAAGATTCAGGGAGCAGTATTAAGAGTGCAAGACAAAACACAGTGTGCAGCTGGAGGAACACAGCAGGTATTCTGAAGGAGGGTCCCAACCTGAAACGTCAGCTTTCCTGCTCCTCTGATGCTGCTTGGCCTGCTGTGTTCATCCAGCTCTACACCTTGTTGTCTCTGACTCCAGCATCTTCAGTTCTTACTATCTCCTTAGAGACGGTGATGTTTTAATGGTACCAACCTCATTTTTATTCCCAGCTAAAGATTTTCTCTCTTCAACAGCCAAGTTTGTGATGAGCTGCTGCTGAGCTCCTCCTGCTTCCCATATGAAGAAGCCTCCATTGAACTGGGGCCCAGGCTGAAGGCAGTTCCCTTTTTAGACGCTGAGGGGATAGAGGGATAGACTAATGAAGGGAGAAGGTTAGCCTCCTAGCAAAGAACGGAAGAGGCTCAATGGGTTACCTGGACCACCCCTGCTCTCCTTTATCAGGCTCTGGAATTCAGTACAATCACAATGGAACTCATCCTAATCTCAAACCAACATTCCCACCTCGCACTGATACTGAGTGCCTTCAATGCAAACCATTCCCACAGGTCCCATTTCTGCCCCTTACTATTCCCAACACAGACCATTCCAGAGCGTTAGCCTTCTCTGTATTTATTTTGAAGTCAAAATCTGTCTTGGTGCGAACATGAAATAAAGAACCCAGAATGTTAGAGATTAGAAACAAACAAAAACAGAAACTGCTGAGCCTTCTTCTGCAGAAGGGTCACTGGACTCGAAAAGCTAACTCTGTTTCTCTCTCCACAGATCCAGCCAGACCTACCCAAGTTTCCTCAGCAGGTTCTCTTTGCGCATGTTTCCATGGTGGTCCCAGATTTCACTGGCCTTGGGGTGGGAAGTGGTCCTAGTTGGTTTTCTGTTGGCCTCGATGGGAGCTCTGTTGTGCTTTTGGTGTTACCCTCTGTCCTTCTCATCTTTCTGACAGTTTGATCCTGCCAACACAGGCTACATTAGTACTGAGAAGTTCCGGAACCTTCTGCAGGCCCATGGCTCAGAGCTGGACCCACATAAAGTGGAGGTACTCCTGGCTTTGGCAGACAACAACTCTGAGGGGAAGATCTGTTACCAGGACTTTGTTAACCTGGTGAGTGAGCAGTGGCAGCAAATGTATGATGGAAAGTGAAGAATGTTTAGTGAGTTAGGTGTATTTCTTGAAAATGATAACTGCCACATTCATGTAATCATTCCGTATGTTATCCTCCAGATTCCCCCAGGATAGAGTCGCACACCTTTAATCCTTTCGGGGAGGTTCTCAGAGAATGTTTCCAGAATAAATATTACCACAGTGTTGGTGAAGTCCTGACAAAGTTTCCCAGAGAGTCTCCTGATGTGTTTCAGGCTCCTGTTACCCCCCAGTCCAGCAGCAATGACTCAGGATGCTGAGGAGCTCATTCAGTAACATCAGCACTGTTTATTCCCAAACCACTCGGCACCGTTAGCAGAGGGAGCTAACAATCAAAACACTCGACAGCTTCTTCAGTTACCTTTGGCAGACATTATTAGTGAATACCAGCTGGTTAACATTCTTCTGGGCACCATACCTCACACTAACTTCAACTCCTTTACCAAGGGGCTGCCTTACGCTAAAACACCAGTAAAACTAATGATTTGATAAAGGTATGGTCACCCCGGAGGCTGAATGCACTGCTGGAAATTAACCCCTGCACTTCCCAGGATGGGACTGAAACTCAGATCGCTGTGGTCAGGAAGATTAAAGAGATTAGAATTTTCCTCTTTGGAAAAGGAAAATTAGAGGGGAGATGAAAGAGATCTTTAATGTGATAAATAGGTTGGACAGGGTATATGTGTAGGAAATGGTTCAACTTTTCAGGATTTGGGGTCACTGATACAGGATAGTTACTAATATATCCAACAGGGGAATAGGCAGAAATGTCTTAACTTGAGAGATTGGTTACAATGTGGAATGCACTACTATAGGAACTGGTTCAGACAAACAGTAAACATGCTTTAAAACAGAAACTGGACAAATGAGCAGAAAGAAAAGGGATGAAAGATGGAGACGGGGAAACTGGATCAGGAAGTAACTCCAACAGAGCATAAATTATGCAGAAAATAATTCAGAAAGCTAATGGAATGCTAGCCTTTATATCTAGAGGACTGGAGCATAAGCATGTAGAAGTTATGCTGCAGTTTTACAAAAGCCTGATTAGAGCCCATTTGGAGTACAATGAGCAGATCTGGGCAGCACACCTCAGGAAGGATAGATTGGCCTTGGAGGGGGTACAACGTAGGTTTATAAGGATGATGCCTGGACTTTAGGGATTAAGTTATGAGAAGAGATTATACAAATTAGGCTTGTTTTCTCTAGATTTAGAAGGTTAAGGGACGATCTGATCAAAGTCTCAAAGAAAAGGCAGGTCGATAAAACTAAACTATTTCCACTAGTTGGGCATTCTAGAAGTAGGGACATAGTCTGATAACTAGGGACATAGTCTGATAACTGGGGGCATAGTCTGATAACTGAGGGCATAGTCTGATAACTAGGGGCATAGTCTGATAACTGAGGGCATAGTCTGATAACTGAGGGCATAGTCTGATAACTAGGGGCATAGTCTGATAACTGAGGGCATAGTCTGATAACTGAGGGCATAGTCTGATAACTAGGGGCATAGTCTGATAACTGAGGGCATAGTCTGATAACTGAGGGCATAGTCTGATAACTAGGAGCATAATCTGATAACTGAGGGCATAGTCTGATAACTAGGGGCATAGTCTGATA